TTTGCAGGTGAAGCGCAGCCTCTTGACGGTGAAGTGCTGCAACGATATCTCGTGAATGCAAACCATCGTTAGATGCAGAAGATGTACTTTTCATCGCCTCTCCAAACGTTTTCGCGCCTTCGGCTAAGGCACATAGACCTAATCTTAAAATCAAAATAAAACACAATAATAGTTTGTCAGAACTTTGTCACTTTCGACATTATGCCATAGTAGCAAGTACCTGCTTCAACATATTCGCCGTTGGGTTTTTACGCTTGCTGCTTCGACATCCTTGGTCTTCCGTGTCCTCCTCAACTTGTTCATCATCCTCACCGTACTCCAGCGTGATGTTATCACACAGTGTCGAGTTTTGTAACCCTTCATGGGGTGCCCAGTGCTCCATCATGAGGTCAAGGCAAGGTGGGTCGGACACCGCAGGAACATTTCCTGTAGCAGAGCGATCCTAACGGACCACTTCTTCCGTAGTCACTTAATCTACAATTTGCAAAATAAAGCAAAACAAAACCGTATTAATTAACAATCGAAAACAAGGAAATAAACAAAGTGTTGGCAGGATACCTTGTCCTTGCATTGAGTCACTGAATAGACCCGATTAGTCCTCTTACTAACAAGCGCAGCAACTCAAATTCAAGCTGCACCAATATCTGCGTTGTTGGTAGCGTTCTTAAAGTTATCCTTAGCTGTAACATACCTACAGAGCGACAATTAAAACGATAATGTGATAGTAGTTGTTATGGTACTTGACCGAGTAAAATCATACCTCGCCGTAAACAGAGCCGTAGCTGCGTCCGTCGACCACAGCTCTGTAGATACATTTTTCTTGCGTCCCCGCTTCGTTGGGCCTGTAGGAACAGCTAAGTGTTGAGCTGTCATCTCTGCGCTTCCGCAACGTCCCCAGCGGAGAACGTTCGTAGGGGCGGATAGGACTGTAGCAGCGATAGGCAAGGTCGTGCAGTTATCTGCGCTCTCAGGCTGCCTTGTCCGCTGCGCTGGGGCTCATACGTGCGGCTGTCACGGAGCAGCAACTCCTCCATGAGGTTTAGCTGCGTACACGTGTCTCTTGTTGACTCACTCCTCTCTCTCTGTGTTTTTAGCAAATTGCTACCTGCCAACCAGTGGTGTGAGCACAGCGGCCACAACCGCTATCAGTTTGAAGGGTATGCCAGCAAACAGTGATTGTCCGAAAAACGACCTACGACACAAGTGCTCAGGGGATGAGGAGGGTATATATTCCGAGACCCCAGACCCTGCGGCAGGAGCCAGGGCCTTAGGTACGAGAAACGATCAAATTTATCAAGTGAAGGAGCGTTAGATTATTACCATAAACATAGATACATGAAACGGTGTGCTTCATGTTGCTAGCACTTTGATAGTAGCGCTGTTTACCTGATTTAGGCATGCTACAAAGAGACGACTCTGCGCAGTCGTCGCACTTCCTAAAATGAAATCCAAATGAGAAGCATCTTTTTCGTAGAGGTGGGGCTACCTACACTAATAATAGGTAAAAATACTGGGAAGTGAGTTAACAAAGCCTAACGATCGATCGGTCGATGCATCCTGTTGCGGTGCTCGCATCGAGTAGAAGGTCACCACCGTCGTGACAACGCCATATAATTAAGTTTAAAAAAGATTTTACAGTAACTGATGTAACTTATTATCGAGCGCAAGTTACCATTTCCGCGGATACTTGCCTTTCCAGTTGGACGTTTTTTGCCTTCTTAGAGCGCTGTCCAAATAGAAAAGCGATCCTGCCGATTTTTTCTACTCTTACTAAAACGAAGTCAAATAAATTGTCGGAATGTCTAAGCGTACACTAATTTATTCTAATAAATACTTCTCCGGTTCAGAAAAGAATTAACATGTGTGATTGGTCAATGTCCATTCTGAGATAAGTACGATTGGTTAAAGTGAGTTCGTATGAGGATTTGTATGCACACGGATTGAGAGTAATTTGCTTTTAGTGATATACCACAAGATTAAGCTTAGTTTGCGATTCTCTAGTATTTTTTAAAGTTTAATTCTGATTATTTTTGACGTCGAAGCGAAAAAAACACCAACCCTCCGTAAAGTGATAGATCAAATGATCAGACATTAACAAAATTGGCGGGAAATTTGTTCATATAAAAAATCGTGCTGACGCTACGTAAGTAGAGCTTTCAAACTAGATCAACCACGCTTCCGTTGGATCTGTACGATCGAAGTTATTTCCGACTTAAAGAACTGTCAATTCGTTTTCGGACCAGACAAGTATATCCAAATTCATAGTAACCCCTCTGATAGGGTGTATCTGAAGAAAGATCGCCAGTTGGTGTCAACACCAGGCGCGACGTGAGGGCTGAGGCTGAGGCCCTGCGTCAAGCGTGGCGCCATGCTCACGCAGAAGTGCTAAATCATTGCTTCCAATACAGAGGGCGTCGAGGTACAGGCTTATGGCGAGGACACGTAATGGAAAAGAAAACATGAACGGAAGGTTCAACTTGTGACGTACAAACTAGGAGGCTCCATGGGGCGGTGTAGTATTACTAGTACCTCACGAACCAGGAGGCGATGCGCTTCTTCTCTTCCAGCGTTTCCGTCTTGCGAGCATGTGTGTGGACTGAAAAGACCGCTGCAGCCGCTGCAGTGTAATGTTTAAAAAGATCGACGCTGTACTACAGCGTTGATCGAGCGTTATAGCTTTGGCAAGGTGGCTGAACCCTGCTATCACATGCAGACTGTAGGTTCTCTCTCTCTAAAGGCGCTGAAGGCTATTGTTTGCGTGCAGGAGACCCTTATAGCGCTTGTTGCGAGGAAGTAGAAGAAAGACGGGAAGGGCGAGGACGCAAAAGCACAGTTGCCAGGCAAAAGCTCAGGCGGGAACGACCAAGACGGCGGCGGTGCTGATGGACTACTCTCTCAAGCTAATAAAACCAGAAGTGAAGTGAGCACTGCACGGCGGCAGCGCACAGGGACCCTAGTTTGGTATTTGAGGAGTTATCAACTGCTTCTATGTTAGCTGTGCTTGTTTGATAATAGCTGCTGCTGCTTGCACCTGGATACTACCGGCGGTTGCAGCCACCGCTGCCCGTACGCAGCACAGCGACGGAGAAAGACTGCGTCTCCTCGTCGTTAGCAATTTCCAGAGTCCAGCAGGCTCTTGGATTGCACGCCTCCATGCGACGGATCGGTAACCGGCGTCTTGACTGACACCAAGTGAAGCCGCGACATTGTAGTGTCACGGCCATGGCTTCCGCGAGTGCTCGCTTACGCGTTTGTCAAACATCAGATGCCCGCTGGCATCCCATATATGCTGGCCCATATTCCCTTCAATGATACTGTGATGTTTCCGAGCGCAGATCGACGTCGTATGCGCCTTTCGTGCCCACAGTAACTCCCTCCTTCTCCACATCCTTTCTCAAATAAACCGTCACTATCCAAAAGAAAAGTAATCTCGGCACCGCATTTTTCATAGTGCTACTTTAAAAAAAATAGGTAAGAAAAATAATCAATTTTCTATTTGGACAAGGCTCTTACCACGTTACAGTATTTTTAATGGAAGGACAGCTTTAGCTGGTTGGACAGCCTAACCAATTTTATTACATTGACGCCCCCCCCACCGGGTTTAATTGCGCGATTATTGTGCGCTCTACTCCAAATTTCCGTGCGCGGATCTTTGAATGAGCGCCACACAATAGTGCAAATCTGTTTTTGCCTTGCCTGGGGGTGGCGAAAGAGGATGTCGTGCCGATGCGTTTAAAAGGATCCCATTTAAATACGATCTGGGATAAAGGAAAATTGTACTCCAGTGACTCACTGGACCAAAACGGGTCGATAGTCTCCAGACTGACCCTAGGGGTTAGCGTACGTTCTGTGAAATGTGTTGCGTAAATGTTGCTAGGAAGCGTGATCATTTAATACGAGAAGCAGCTTATTGTTAAAGACAAAGGCACTGGGATGGCATCTGCAACAGTGGTAATAGGCTAGTACAAGCCTTGGATCCTTAATTATCACAGGATCGCTATATCGTCACTCGCATACGCCACCTTATCCAAAATACTCAAGCAAGTGGCCCAATAGCGGTTCTTGTTGCTTTCGCTTGAACCCACTTGTCTTCGCTTACATGCTGCAACAGCTCGTGGCTTATTTTCTAAATGCGCATGAAGCAGTCGTCATCTATCTCGGCTGCACTTTGGGCCATTCTTCTATTGCTTGTCTGTAATATTAAATCTCTTTCATTTTTTTTCTTTAATTCATTATTTTTGTATGTCTAGTAATATTTCACTTTTTTCTTCTTAAAATGAAAACAAGAAATCACGACCAAAGCAACGCCTCTAGTTAAATTTCCATGCTAATTTCCAAGCTATGTTGTATAGAGATTTAGGGTTCTGCTAAATGAATGAGACACAAATTGAGGTCACTGCAATGGACACATATACGGTAATGTTTGCCATAACGGCGTTGTCGACATCATGTGCTTTTAGTTCAGGAAATATATTGGTGATGCAATTACAAGAAGTCCTTGTTCCAGTCTTGTCTATCTCGCCACACAGACGACAACGAGCGAAATTATCTGCTTCCATACACCATACTACGCACAGTCTTGAGCATGACGTCGCCCCACGCCATTATACCCGTCGCAAGTTCTTGAAGTGTGTCCTCGGAGAGCGAGAACTGCGGTCGATGGATCTTCAAGAACGCCGCACGACGCATTGTCATGACTAGCTTACCTTTCTCGTCTTTGCCGACCGTGAATACAGCAATCCTGTCTACGAGCACGTAGTCCAACAGACAATTAAAGTATTTCTTTGTCACGATGACACCTTAACCAGCTCGAATTTAGTCTCTCGTCTTCGAGCTAAATGTTATTAGTGTACCCCAACTCGAACTAAAAGCAATGGAAACCATGGTTTGTATTCATCGTTTTTGGAATGTTTCAACGAGTGTACTACAGTTTGCAAGTACCTCTAAGAAACGGGAATCCTGTCGATAATGGGAGTCCATGCGAAGCAACAGCGTGCGTCTTAGCACGCCCCATACACAATACTCCGGATCGACTTTACCATGACATCACCCCACGCCATGATGTTTGTTGCCATCTCTTGCTGGATATCCTCCCGAGCAGCAAATTGGGGTCGATGGATCTTCAAGAAAGCTGAGCCTCTCATCGTCACGACGAGTTCTCCCTCCTCTCCATTGACTGTTGGTTTCCTCCGGGCCGTAAAGACAGCAGTAGCTGACACATCCTTCCGCACCCGTTTGGCTGAGCTGTACGGATAGAGTTCGTCCTCGTCGATAGAATCGAGAACTACGATTTCGTATTCCCCATCGGGATCCATCTTCGGAAACAACAGTGAGCTGGTTTCCATCGTGACTGTGTCGTGAACGGTGGACAGCACCCGAGCGTTGTACACGCTGCCGTCTATTGTCTCGTAGTCGTCCAGCACCGTGATGTGTCCGAGCCGTTCCGTAATACTGATCTCCATGTTCGTGAGGTAGTACAAAGCCGCATCGTAGACTTGCTGAAGTGACTTGACTCCAGGGAACTGTACAATTTCGAAGCGTATGCCGCAGAAGTCGCCATCTATAGACTCAAAAAGTTCACCCGAATACGTCGTCTTGTCACTGTCGACGATGCGTTTGGGATCCATGACGAAGTTGTATGCGTTGCGAAGTTTTTCTTCTCGGATCGACACGAGTTTCGCCTGGCGTTTGTTCCAGTCTTTGGGCAAGCAAATGTAAGTGTAGAGTGGGTGTGACTGCTGCGATTTCTATAGGAACGAGCGACAGTATTAGACAGCGATTTACAGAGCAAAGCTTACGTAGCAGTAGCACACTTACTAGGTACTGGCTCATTGCAGACTGCATCTCAGCAACCTGGAGATGTTGGGCTCGAATATTCTCGCTCAGTGTTGCATTTTCTGCTTGCGTCTGCTTCAGCCTATCGTCCACTCCGGACTCTTGCTCGGACCGAAGTTTTAGCACAATCACTTGTGACTCGAGTTTGCGCACCTCCTCGCGGAGTTCATGAGCTTTCTCCTGCTCATTCGACGCATGATAAAAGTAACGTCGAAATGCCACGATAGCTCACTGACCACGTACCCGTCGAGCCGCGTACGTGCACTTACGGCGTTTAGGCTTTTACTCGTCAAGCGCCATGCTCTGCTCTACTGGTTCAAAGGCTTCTTCGTGTCCTTGTTTGAGGCTGGTCTCAGAGGTGATCGTCATGTTTAAACGCGCCCCTCTGCTCCTCTGTGCGCTCGCCGTCAATCCGTGGTCAAGTAACGGATCTATAAGTACGTACAGTTGCAACACCACCAAGTGTTTACAAGTGCTCATGTTTAGCGGATTTTATAATAAAAATCTTACCACGAATCCCACATGTTCGTCCCGGGTTGGTCAACATCGACAAGTGCGCGATGTTGACGCGCAGAGCACGTGAAGCCGCACATTAATTCGTTGTTCACAACCACGTAACGCTTCTCACACAATCTTTCCCAGCATCTTGGAGAACTGTACATGTAATTGTCGTTGGTTCTCCGAAAATTTGTTGGCCAGCAGTGTCGAGATGCTTGACGGGGAAGCAACAGAATCTCGCGTAGGCGTCCACAAGTTAGTCCACCTGTCTCCTCGTTCTTCTCCTCGGCGTCTCCAGCATACGCTTCAAACTTGAAGTGTGTGTGGGTTAGAGCAGTTTACGGGTAGCTTTGTTGAACTCGCGGTGTATCTTGCACTAGCGCTTCTCATGTTGCAGATAACTCTTGATGTCGATGAGGAAGTTTGGTATCGTCTCACTTGTTGCTGGCCACTACAGAAGATGGGCCTTCAATGGACTACAACCAGTGAGCAGCAAAGGCGGGATTCTTGAGCTCGACAGCCGGGCATTGGATTTTGAAGCGAGAGATGCTAGTTCACTTAAGCTAGCGTGCATTATATTTTGTTTGGCAAGAATCGAGCTTGAGGACCAGATTACCACGGATGCTCAGTGTGTGAGAGGTATCGCCGAAGTCGGCTGAAGAAATGACTTCATGTGAACGATTCATGCACTCATTTGGCTGAACACGAAGTTACATCGGCAGGGAAGACGTCATCCAGCGAGTGCAGACATTCACGACCAAAGCCTTTGAGTCTTCCACATTCGGTCAAACAACACGCTGGAGTCGTCGATGGTTGTGCTCAAATATCTCTGTAGCCGAATGTAAAGCACCCTCAGCAACCCTCAAGCGAGCATTGATACAGTGCAGAAACTTTTCCAAGAACACGCGGCTCGTGCGGTTATCTGTCCGTGACTCTCCTCCACTGCTTCTCGCGCCGTCGTCCACTTCTCTTCCGTCGGGATCTTCGTCATCATCTGTGACCTCAATTCAGCTCTAAAGCCGGTGAAGACTACATGTAGTTAGCGGGGCGGGTCCGACGCAGACAACTGGAAGCAACGGAGTGTGTTGGCTACAGTGGGTGCTAATTTGTTCGTCTGGATGAGACTCTACTTTTCATCTAGTGCAACACGGCTGAGTGCTTGCCTTTCCAGTAGCCCCGACTTGGTCGAAGAGCTCGGAGACATCTGCCTGGGCCGCATACCGTCGCCTGGGGCTGTTGGCACAATTTCAGTCTTGTAGGAGCCGACTCCACCAAAAGAGTCGTAGAAGCCTTTTCGGTAGTGTTTCGCCACTCGCTTCTCGAGAACAAAAGCCAATTGGGGTGACAAATCTCTTTGTCTGGTCTGGTAGATCTGACGCTGGACCTCGGGGTTTGTGACTCTGGTGCAGTATTTGTCCAGGATCGAGTCGTACTGCGGTAGTTTCGAGTCGTGCGGGGTAGTTGCCACCCAGTTGCGCTCTCGATTTTGCAACTCTGGATTCGGTTGTGGGACGAGCTTTCGACCGGATGACTCAAATCTAGACGAGTACGGGGTTCCAGACACCTGACGAGCAGACAACGGTCGCTTCTTGGTCTCCTTCGTTGTTGGGGGCTTTGCCAGCAAAACGGGAGGCACAAACGCTTCGTACTTGCGCAGATCATCTCCATGACGAAACATATTGGCGAAAAGCCAGTCACGCTTTGCCTTGTCCATCTTTGGAAGATTAAAATGGAGGTTCGCGGGTGTTCGCACGGGCTGCAGCATACGACGCTTAGTTGAATGATCTCCACTGGTAGAAGGCTTCGGGTTCACCTTCTGCTTGGGTAGAGGCTCCTTTTGAAAAAGTTTTAATGCATTATGCGACGGATCTGGGCTCGGAGTCGATAGAGACGAATTCTTCTGCTTGTTCTTGGGTGGACTTTCAGGTTGTGGATTCAGCGTAGCTGTCTTATGCTTTGTCTCTGAACCGACTGAGAATGGTGGAATTAATGTCGACGTGGCTGTTTTCAGCTTACTATGGGAAGCTCGCGAAGTCGATGTGGATTTAATATCGGTTGTCGGTGTATTAGGCAGTACGGATGATGTTGGCGTTGATTTCTTTGTTGATGGACGTGATGGTTTAATTGGGGGCGATGGTTGCTTGGTGGAAGGCTCTCCATTCTTTACAGGCTGCTTAAGCCCAGCCACGTTTTTGTTCTCTTGTTGACTCAACTTCCGTGGCGATTTCTTCGGATGCACCTTAGCAGAAGTCGCTTTCTCATCCTGCTTAACTGCAGTCGATGCGGAGGGAAGGTCGTCTTGCTGCAAGCTTTCAGGTGGTTGGGCATCTTTAATTATTGGCATCGTCGCACCTTTGGACAGCGTATCAGATACGGTATCTTCGATCGCAAGGACACGCTGAAGATGTGCGCTATCTGTATCTGTACTTGTAGCCTCCTCCGGATTGCCGATTTCGTCGGACTGAAGACCAGGAGGTTGAGCTGTCACCTCGTGGTCTTCGAACTCTTCCTCATCGTTGTCGTACTGTCCTATTTCGTCAGCGTCTGCTCCCTGCTGTAGGGTTTCTTGTTTCGGAACATGAGCGTCCACATTATCATCGGCAAATTCATCAAAATCGTCGTACAGAACAACCACGTCGTCTGCTTCTCCCGGGCTTTCGTTTTCATCGTTCCCGAATTGAGCCACATAGTCAGGTGATTCGACGTCTACAGCTAGTTTGCTGATTTCAGTCACGTTGTGCTGCAAACTAAGCAATGAAAGCTTTTCTTGAAGTAAAATGTCGGTCTCACGTTGACTGTCTTCCTTTAACTTGTCGACGCCATAATCGCATCCTTCATCGCTGGGCTTATCCTCTTCATTCAACTGAGGAGTAATAGCAAATTCATCTTCCATCTCTTCCGTATAATCGTCATCGTTGGTTGGAGTCGATTCAATTGTAGGGGCGCTGGTGGGTAGTTTAGCGGAATCAGGGCTGCTTTTGCCTTCCTCCGGACTTACCTCTTTGTCGGTAACATGGCTATCTCGATCGTCACTGTAAGAATCGTTAACTTCTTGGTTACAAGCCGCATCAGTGACCTCTGGAGTTCCCACTGACAACACTATCGGCGTGCGATCAAAGTCTGGTGTAGTTGGGGTATCTGCTGTTAGTTGAGCAATGACAGGAGTAGCAGATCTGTGTTGTGTCGAGTTGTCTTCAATAGAATTTCTGGATAGAGAGCCCGTACTACTTGGTAGGTCTGCAATCGCATCATTTTCCACATCGTTCGAGTATTCTGCTTCACTATCTTCACTCTCGTTTCGATCGTGGCTCAAGATGTTATCGGTATCGACGAGTACGCCGCTAGTGTATATGTTATCCGGTAGCATTGTAGTCTTACAATTATCTACTGTCGGGGGCGCAGCGTCAGGTGCCACCATTGCTGGGTTCTCGCTATCAAACTCTCTATCGTAAGCTTCGTCATCGCTCGAAACTTTGGCTTCGGAGGGGGTATACTCAGCTAAAGTCTCGCCAGTCTCTACTGGAGTTGAATCAGTAGCAACTGGAGGGTGATCGTATTCTTCAAACTCTCTATCGAATGCCTCCCCATCTTCTTGTGGAGTCTGTGTTAGTATCTCTGCTTCTGTAGCCGTTCCGTCACTCTCTAACGTCTGTGAGCCGGTACCTACTTCAGTACGGTCATCACCGTCAAATTCATCGTCGTATTGCTCTGTCACCTCTGTATTATCCCTCACGAGGCTATCTTGTTTAACGTCTTCTTGTTCTTTATCTGCATCAACACAAGCTGGAGGGTGATCGTCCTCGTCAAACTCTAACTCTCCATCGTACGTCTCTTCCTGTATAATTTTTCCTGCTTCTGTCGATGATGGATCAGCTTGAGTGCCGTCAGCCTCTGAGCCGTCCATGCGGCCAGCATCGTCCACTACTTTTCCATCGTAATCATCGCTCTGTTTGACAGTTCCTAGCACTTTATCTTCGTCGACAAACTCGTCACCACCATGGTATGCACGCTCCGACCCAAACTCATCGTCGGAATACGCCGCGTCTTGAGGCTATTAGAACGATGTCAGTACAGTATTCTCGAACACCTACCAACACTACGTAGCTTACCGTCTCTTCTTTCAGCATCCCTCAGTAAGCCGTTTAGACGACACACACCTTGTTGAAAAATAATAGCCACCACCGACCCAGAATAGATCAGCCATGTCGAGAAATGTTCCTTTTGCCACGTTGAGCGACTAATGAAAGTGCACATTCATGTTGGATCTGTGCTTGCCGCTCCAACACGTTTTTTTGCAGGCATGCTCCCTGTGATATCTGATTTTTGCATTCACATGTTAACGTGAATCCATTGCACTACTTTGGCGTTCATTTCCTCATTTGCGGCCAAGAAGGCGAAGCTTACGAGGCTTTAGAACGCTCGCTATGTCGCCTCAAGTGACCACGACATGTTTCCAAGAGGCAGAGGTGGCGCCTCTGCGCGTGTTGGTGCTTCCCCACGCCGGTGGCGCCTCGCGTGCTCTGGCGCTTGAGTGGGGCAAGAGTTTTCGCGCTGCGGGACTCAACGTGGAGTTGTGGGGCGTGGACTGGACGTGGACGGCGGAGGACGTCGTGGAAGACGCCGCCGCCTGCTCCCTCGAGCTCGTAGCTGCCATCTGCGCGCAACTGAGCATTGGATTCTTCGGTAAACCCTTCGTGTTGGTAGGTCATAGTCTCGGTGCGTTAGTGGCGCTGGCATTGACGCATTACCTCGAGCACCGCAAGTTCTCAGCACCCCGTCACGTTTTCTTCTCGGGGGCTGCGGGACCTGGTCCCTGGACGCTGTACGACACGAACGCACTGCAGCAAGACTCGCAGCTGCTGAAGTTGCTGGAACAATGGGGTGGCACGGACACGCAACTTCTGGAGATCCCAGAGCAAAAGCAGAAGCTCCTGACCGCGCTACGTACTGATCTACAGCTACACAATGGGCTCGTGCAATGGTTCACGCAGCAGAAAGAGGTCAAGATCCGCTCCGACGTGACCGTCTACGGTGGATCGGAAGATCCCGCCGCCCCTGCGGATTCTTTGCCCAAGTGGAGAGATGTGTGTGCTGAAGGCAGCGAGTTTGAAGTCAAGCTGTTCACAGGCGGACACTTCTACCTCACGAGTGCTGAGAGTCAGAAGACTTTCTCCCAGTCTTTCATTGCCAAACTGGAGAAGGTGTCATCCCTTGTCCTAAGGGAGTCGCGCACGTTGATCGACGGATTGAACGCGAAGCACGGGGCTTACCCGTCTGAGAATTGCTTGCACGACATGTTTTATGAGGCAGCGAAGCGAACTCCGGACGCAGTTGCAGTCTACTACGAGGGCAAGACGTTGACATTCCGTCAACTGGACGAGCAAAGTGAACGACTCGCTGACTATCTGTATCACGCTGGTGTGCGTCCGAACTGCATCTCTGGCATCTTCATGGAGCATTGCATCGAGTTTGTCATCGCCTACGTCGCAGCGCTGAAAGCTGGTGGAGCGTATATGCCGTTAGAGATCGTGTATCCGCCGGACCTTCTTGAACGCGTCATGGAAGAGTCCAAACCGACCATTGTACTGACCAAGAAGAAGTTCCGCAACCGTCTGCCAGCCTGGCAACAAGCACTGGAGCTGGACGACGGCTGGATTGAGTCCTTAGCTCGCCAGAAAATCCCAGTGATGCCCGCAGACCGCACGCGGACGCATCCAGACGATCTGGCTTACGTAGTCATGTCTTCAGGCACTACAGGAGTCCCTAAAGGAATCTGCTGTCCTCACCGTGGCGCCGTGCACTCGTACGACTGGCGTCTCACTCATTGCTCGTACAAGGACGACGACCGAGTGGCTTGCCACGTCTTCTTCGTGTGGGAACTGCTACGTCCAATGCTCGGCAACCGACCACTGTATGTCATCCCAGACAACACCATCTACGACCCTGTCAAGCTCGTGGACTACCTGGCAACGCACAGTATCACACGCATCCTCTTCACGCCGTCGCTGCTCCAGTTGATCCTGGACACCTGCACGAAGGAAGAATTACTACAGAAGCTGTCCAAGTTACGTCTGGTGTGGCTTTGTGGTGAGGTGGTGACGCTGGAGCTACGCGATCGCTTTGTTCGTCTGTTCCCCAAGTGCGAGCTGCAGAATCTCTACAGCGTCTCGGAGTGCCACGACGTGAGTGCAGTGGATCTGGCTGCAATGAGCGACTTGGACAACTCGTTGTCGACGAAGTACGCGTCTTGTGGCGAAGTCATGCCGAATGTGAAGGCATATGTGCTGGATGACGACTTCAAACCCGTGTCTATCGGCGTCCCTGGAGAGCTGTACATTGGAGGACCCTGTCTGGCTATCGGGTACCTCAATCGCCCAGAACAGACCGCACAGCGCTTCCTAAAGCACGTTGTACCCGGAGAGACCGTGTACAGGACGGGAGATCGTGCACGCTTCTTACCTAATGGCCACTTGGAACTCATCGGTCGGTGCGACTTTATGGTGAAGATTCGTGGCTACAGTGTCGTGTTGGGTGCTGTGGAGTCAGCATTAGCGCAACATCCTTTGGTGTCCACGTCGGTGGTGCTCACGGAAGGCGACGAAGGTGAAGACAAGCGGTTGGTTGCCTACATTGTGCCGGAAGACTGGGAAAAGGTGCCAAGTGCGTCAAACCTTCGCGAGTTTCTCAAGGAGAAGCTGCCGCACTATGCGATCCCGTCGGTGTTTGTACAACTCGATGCTTTGCCCATTAACAGTGCAAGTGGCAAGTTGGATCGTAAGAAAATGCCGTCGATCGAAGAAGCCAAGAAGCTGCGTAACGAATCGATCGACTTGTCGGTGGACCCGCAGAACTTGCCGCAGACCGAGACGGAGAAGAAGCTCGCGTGCATCTGGTCGGAGCTGCTACGTCTCGAGAACGACAGCGTCTTGCACCGTGAAGCCAGCTTCTTTGACGTGGGCGGACACAGTTTGCTGTCCACTCGACTGGTCTCCAGTATCCGCGATACTTTCGACGTTCACTTGACTCTAGCAGACATTCTCTCGTCGCCTGAGTTGTGCTCGATAGCGTCTCGAATCGACCAATCGCTTGGTGGTCCAGCTGATAATGATACTAAAACGGTGGCTGAGAAGACGGAGAAGAAGGTGGTGCTCCCGCTTGAAGCTGTCCTGGATGCGTCGATTTACCCTGCTGCCACTCGTAAGGCCGGGTACAGTCGCTACCGTGTGGAGATGGTGAGTCTACCGCCACGCAACTTGTTCCTGACTGGTGCCACCGGATTCCTCGGTGTGCATCTGCTACATGCACTGCTCAAGTACTCGACCAGCGTCGTCTTCTGTCTGGTTCGTGCTGCTGATGAAGACGCAGCTATGGATCGCATAAAGAATGCACTCAAAGAGTTCGCGCTTCTCGAGGAAGCGCAGAAATGCCATCTGGAAGACCGTGTGATCCCCGTCCCGGGCAACCTCGCGCAGCCGCTGCTGGGTCTTGATGCTGACATGTTCAAGATGCTGGCGACTGAGATCGACGCCATCTTGCATAATGGCGCAGACGTCAACCTGGTCAAGCCATACTCTTCTCTGAAGAGCGTCAATGTGCTGGGAACACAGGAAGTATTGCGTCTTGCTGTGACGAACGGACTGGCCAAGACGCGTGTAAAGCCTGTACACTACATCTCAACGAACGGAGTGTTCCCGTCAACACTAAGTGCACCTAGATATCTCGAGACGGCGGACTTGAGTGAGCTGTCCGATCAGCTCGACAATGGCTACGCACAGAGCAAGTGGGTGGCCGAGCAAATGTGCCACGAAGCAGCTCATCGCGGTCTTCCGGTGTCGATTCTGCGTCCGGGCAACATGGCTCCGTCCTCCTTCTCTGGTCAATGGAACACCAGTGACTTCATCTACCTGCTGCTTAAGGGCTGCGCAGGTCTCGGCGCTGTGCCAGCTCGCTCTGACTGGTACTTGGACATGACCCCCGTGGACTACGCAGCACGTGCCATCGTGCACTTCGCTGCGGTGCATCCGGTGGAGGCGCTTGGCCAGACGCTTCACATCCAGAACCCGTCGCTTCCAGTCAAGAGTGACGCGTTCTTTGAGTTCTTTACGGCTGCAATGGCGAGCAAGCAACTGACTGCAGTCGAGTATTCACAGTGGAAACGTAGCTTGGATCAAGCTGCGAGTAAGACGGACGCCCCGTTGGAGCTGCAGAAGCTGGCGGCGGGCATCGACTCGTTCGAGGTTTATTTCCAGAGCGACAAGGTGTTCGACGCGACGCTCTCGACTGAGCTATTGCAGTCCGCTGGCATCACGTGCCCGACAGTCAACAAGCCGCTTCTGGTTACGTACACGGGCAAATGGTGAGGATCTGTCCACGAGTTGTTGATACCTTAAATAGTTTCTGTGGCGCCCTCTCATCTTGTTGAAGTGCAAAGCCAACTTTGGTTCTCTTTTTGCTTTTCATTCTGTGATTCGCCCAAAATGTTTGCACGCAGCAGTGCTACAGCAGTATTTTACTAAAATGTTGAGATGATCGACCAAAATGATTTGTTTATCGCAAGTAAAATATCTGACGATTTGATTGGCGCACTCCGAAATGAATTGCAGATTTGAATTGCAAGTCGGTCAAACTGACACTTGGCCCACACAGCCAAAAAGACTCGCTCTCGTCCTCGTCAACTAGGTAAAGCTTGCCCCCCTCCGAGCCTATGGACCAGCGCAATACCCCGTACGGCATGCCCGCTGGCCGCGGGGGTCTCCCTGGTGGAATGCCTCAGCAGCAGCAGCAGCGCGCACAGCCAGGAATGCAGCAGCACTACAGCATGCAGGACATGATGTTCGATCCGCTACCCATGAACAACGGCATGTTCCACCAGCCCCAGGGCGTCGGTGGCCACATGATGCACCAGCAGCATCCAGGAGCTCGCGGTGGAGGTATGCAGGTCCTTGGCGGTCTGATGCCGCAGCAGGGGATTATAGCGCCCGAAGACGACCTGGACGACCTCATGACCGCACTGGGAGACCCCGTGGGCATGAGCGCGCAGCAGCAGAACATGGGGCAGATGTCCAGTCACGTCTACGATCAGTCGCACCTCATGGCACCGCGCTCGCAGGCCCCCAACCTCCAACCCGGACGCTCCCAGGGAATGCCCCTGCCCAACCAGACGCCACTTATGCAGCAGAACGGCATACCCAACTCCATGCACATGAATCAGATGGCTCCTAATGGCGCGCGCATGGGCATCGGCATGCCGCAGGAGAACATGGCTGCGCCATCAACTCTTGGCGGTATCAGCAATCTGAGCACAAGCATTCCAGCACCTGCTGCCCCTCGCCAGGCAGCCGTCGTGCCTAGTGCCATTGTGCCAACTTCAAAGGCGTCTAAGGCTTAACCTAGCTCGCGTGCGCTCGCCACGTCCAGTAACAATGGTGGCAGCAGTGACGAGGACGGCAACTTGGGCGAGGATGACTCACAGAAGAAGAAGGAGCGCCGTCGACAGCAGGTGCGCTACGCCTCACGTCGTCGTCGTAAGAAACAGAAGGACGAGGAGAGTTTCCTGCGCGACCGCATCGCGGAGTTGAAGGAGCAGATCCGCATCATTGGCGGTGACCTGACAGAGCAATGCTCTCAGATGGCAGGAATGAGTGAGCAAGCTCTGACGGAGGCGTACGAGAAGCAGATGGTGACGGTGCAGACGCTACGCAAGGACAACAACAAGCTGAAGGAGCAGCTGTTGCAGCACGAGAACTTCGCTCGCATGATCCAGTATGGTCTGAATGCGCTGCCCAGCGACTGTCGTGACGTGGACCGTAAGAAGATCGCGGGTGTCCCGATGTGGATCAGCGACCAGATGAACCCTCTGAAGGGTCCGACACTGGTGGTGGATCTGAATTTGTGTCACGAAGCTGTGCGTCACACGTACAACGAGCTGAAGGCGTTTGGTCCGTCGGTGAACTCGAAGACGAACGTGTGCTATGCTATGGGCTGGAAGACGGAGCTGTGGGCTGCCAGCACGTGTCTGAACTTCCGAGCGGTTCGTGTTATTAGTGACAAGAACATCCGCGAGGTTGCAGATGCTTCATGGGAGATTATTACGTCGCCGGATAAGTTCAAACGCATTTATCCGGATGTCAAGCAGTTCCGTATCCTACAGAAGGTGACGGATGATATCGTGGTGGTGCACCGCATCGCGTCGGTGGCATCAGATCTTTCTGACCGCGAGTTTATCTCGGTGGCGTTCCGACTCCGGGACGGAGACAATTATTTTATTGGTATCAAATCTATCACGGTGCAGACTGAGGCTGCTGAGAACTGCATTCGTGGTGAGGAATGTCAAGGATGGATGTTTGTTGGTGGCGAGAACGAGACATCGCAGTGGAAGGCTCACTTCTTGGGCTACTACGATGTCAAGGGCGAGAAGGACGACAAGGTGCTGAACCAGCTTGCTAACGAGGCGATGTTCGGTATGCTCCGATGGGAGAGTGAGGCCATGCACCCGCTTAGTGTCTAAGGGTCAAACGTCCTCGTATTGGTGGGGCCCTTTTGCTCGATACGTGGAGATTGTGGTGGGCTAGATGTCATACAGCTCTAAGCAGAGGGCGCTACTGCTGAGTATTGACTAATGCCAGGCGTAAGCCAATCCACTGATAGCTGAGCGAACACCTGAGCACGGACGTCTTATTGAGTACATGCATAAATTGTGTTAAAAAATATAAGAAACGAAAACATGCTACAGAGTGACATTTTTGCATTGACGCGGACAAGTAATCACATGCTGAGAGTATTCCTCGGGTGAGTCAGCGCTGTTTCAACCTCTGCAATGAAATCCCGTACAGGTACCAGGGCGAGTTTGGCGCGACACGCGAAATAAATAATTTAGTCACGGTCTGACAAAACAAAAGGTGACGGCTAACGTGACGCATTCGTCTACAGTTTAGGTGGTCGGACTTGCATCTTATACACTTGCTTGTTTATCTCTGCTTTTGCGCGACGAGTAACACAATTGACTTTACCGCGGTGCCCACTAAATTATTGGAGTAAAACGCGCCGACGAGGCATTCTGCTTATTAATACAGTGCTCGTTCACCGGCGATAATGCTCTTCTCTTGAAATAAATGCTTGAGTGAGTGCACGTATTATTAATAAATTATTCAAAAGCGATCGTGGGCAGCTACTGAATTAAAAAGAATCTTTTGGGTAGTCAAGTCTTGACAACCCAACAGATTAAAGAAGCTGCAAGACTAAGGGAGAAACTATCGAGCACATTTTTTTTCTTGGCTCTGCAAGAGAACATCCGCACAGTAGCAGATGTTCAGACGTATGATTTGATTGAAGTTACACCTGGAATTGTCATTTTGTAGATGACAATGAGACGTCCGTGTTGGAGGGATCTTCGTTGGTGTAATAGTAGAAGTTCAGGACCATCGGTCGAGAAGTGTGTCTACGTTGAACTGGGGGATCTGCCGGCTCGCTCCGTTGAGGGACATCCCGGTGCTGCTTCCTGTAATACCGGACACGTTCTTTCTCGTTTTTCTTAAGCCGTCGCTCCTCACGTCTCCGTCGTACTGCAGTTTTACTGCAAGAAAACTTCTTCTTCAGGTGCCTCTTAAGCGCAGTAGGCGACGATAGATTTTTCTTGGACTCACGGCATCTTGTCTTCGGCTTCGCTCGTGACATCTTTCTTCTCAAATGAGAAAGAAAACTTAAACTTTTAGCTCATAAATAAAAAATATTTTCTCATAAATTGCATCGTCCCATGCTTTCACTCTTATATTTAATATTTAACAGAAACTGCAACACAAAAAAATGATATCACTGCTATTTTATACCAGAAAACTGCAAAACTATGCCAGAAACTGCAAAGAATGGCAGAAAAAAAGTTTTTGAAGAGGAATACAAAATCCTAAATTAAACCCATGCTTCCACATGATAAACATCTTCTTCAGGTCTGGGCAACAAGTTTCCGTTACATTATTCCTACGAGGTAAGATCTTGAAGGTATGCTAGCAGACAACGTACGCTATCACTTTTTCAATCATTGTAGAATTATCTCCGTCACACCAATGCAAAACCAACCAGGGGCACAGCAGGCATTCTTCACTATTCCTCCTCCTCCTGAGTGTGTATACCCAAGCTATCAGGCTGCTGAAGGTGCGCTTCACGCATGGACGAAGGCCAACTCCTTTAATGTCTCCAAACGCACCGCCTCATACCTTCGTGATAGAGCTAAAGTCATCTATGCTCGGTATACAACATTCCCCTCTTAAATATCATCGCAATGACGGGTTTGAACACTGTACTTCCGGTGGCCCAGTGTTGGCTACCAGGACAAACCGAAGATGACTTCGTTTGGGCGTTCAACACCCTTGTGGAATATATGGAAGAAGCCGGTGCTGTTCAACCTCGAGTGATTTTATCGGATCGTGATCTCGCTTCTTTGAATGCTTTACGTCGTGTGTTTCCAGCGGTGCCTACTATGATATGTAGATGGCACATGAATCGGAATGTGCTCAGCAAAACCCGCCAAGTTCTAGGTCAAATTGAAGTTGAGCAGGCAGCTCCTGGTCAAGATAAGTTCGTTAACACATGGGAGACAGACTCCTTTATGATGACCTACTATGAAGCTGTGAATTCTAAGACCGAAGCTGCGTTTGAGGAAGCCCGGGTTATTCTTAAAAAGAAAAGCGCAATTGTGTCTGCGTACCTTGATCAACATTGGTGGAAGTACAAGACAAAAATGGTTCGTTGTTGGACTAATCAATAAGCACACTTTGGGTATCAAGATACATCGACAGTTGAAGGCACCCACGCCAAGTGTAAACGCTGGTTGCAAACGTGCCGAGGTGATTTATACACAGTTTTTCATAAATTGTTACCATGGTGGATCTCCTCAACAAGGGCCTTAAGCCTATTGAGCGAGAGAAACGCGACGATAACGCCGCACAGGCTGCAGGACCACCGGTACGCTGCAGTTGTTCGCAATATCACTATTTGGGCTTTGAACGAAACCGAAAAGCTGTGGAGAGAAGCATCTACAATTGTCAACAGAAGACAAACTCGAACCTTGTGTACTGGTGCATTTCGAACTGTACACGGTAGGCCGTGTATACACGAACTGATGAAAATTATTGAATCAAATGGTGTTTTGCGGCTCAATCCCGATCATTTCGATCCACACTGGCGAATTAGAAGGTTTGATGAAACATCACTTACTCCTCGAATAGCAGAACCAGCAACGATCCAAACTTCTTCACGTCGTCGCCCTCGCAGGAGCCATCGTGCAAATCAGGGTGTATCCGGCACAGCTCGCGACCCCGTTCTCAGTGAACGAATCGATAGAAATCACCCAGCGACTCCACCACGGGCGTGGGGCCGAGACACTGATGCTGTGGACGGTAACACTGATCTGCCTTCGTTTAATTCAATTTTCTCCTTTTTCAACATTTAGCAGGCACCAGCTTCGACATTAGATATTGATCAAGAGGCCCAGACATTCCGAGACGTGTTCACACCAGCACGGACATGGGGATATGCTGGACTACGGCCACTTCAGTAACGTTAGTTTAAACTATAATACAGTTAAGTTATATAATGCATGAAATTGGTGTAGATTTACCTCGTTCCACACGACACACTTGTATTGTACTTTTGCCACTGGGCACGTAACAATCTCTTCGTCCCTCAGCGGCTCGCCTTGTCGAGGACAAACTGTGAAACCTGAGCTATGCTATGACTGCACGTGTATACGATACAGCAATAACTTCAATCAAATCATACGTCTGAACATCTGCTACTGTGCGGATGTTCTCTTGCAGAGCCAAGAAAAAAAATGTGCTCGATAGTTTTTCCCAAGACTAAGCGAACAACTGCTGGCCGAACACATAAGTAATGCCAAAGAACACCCGTTACTGCCACTACAGCGCTGTCGGGGACTGACTCAGGCGTTGTAGACAAGTTGAGCTTGCTGGTGGAGGCGAACAAGAGTGGAGAGCAATCTGAAGCTCCGACAGGAAATTTCCAGCGCAACAACAACGTTAAATGTCTTGAGCTAATTTTTTTGTGTCTTGTATTAATAATCTAGCTCTGCGCTATAATAAATATGTTGGCAGCACGCCTTATTCCTACAGTCGAGAGGGTGTTTTTAATATCCATCGGTATCCATGATAGTCAGCGCGACCGTCAGTCCAATTCTGGAAGCTCAAAGCCAGATCTGCCCTCTCTCCCTCGCAAGAGCTGCGTCCATTGGCTGAAATCCTTTAAAATGAATTGTGAAATGAATTGTAGTCGGGAGAAGGGCAGTTTTAAATGCATCACATACCAATCTGCCAGCAACAAGAAGGACCGTGGGCGCGTAAGCACCTCACTCCTCCGGTCTATTATTCCTCCCATCATCCGGGCCTTGAAGCTCGTCACCGATGGACCAGCGGAACAACCCGTATGGCATGCCTGGCGGTCGCGCCGGGATGCCGAACGGGATGCCCCAGCAGCAGCACTACGGGATGCAGGACATGATGTTTGACCCGCTGCCTATGAACAATGGCATGTACCATCCGCCGCCGCCCATGCATCCGCAGCACGGAGGCATGGGAGGTCTCATGCAACAGCAAGGCTTGGTAGCGCCCGAGGACGACCCTCGCTTCGTGGATGACCTACTAGGCGCTCTAGGCAACGACCCCGCGGGCCTCGGTGTGCAACAGCAGCAACAGCATCTCGGTCAGATGGGCCACTACGACCAACAGCACATGATGGCGCCACACTCGCAGACTCCCAACTTCCAGCCCGGGCGTACTCAGGGAATGCCCATGACCAGCCAAGCTCCGCTCATGCAGCAAGGAGGCATGCCTGGGTCTATGCACCTGAACCAGATGACGCCTGTCGGAGCACCGTCGCGTATGAATACGGGTATGCAGCAGCAGAATATGGGAGCACCAGAAGTGTCGTCAGGTCTTGGGACCCTCGGGGGCTTAGGAGCCTCCATCCCCACACCTGCTGCACCGCCTCGACAAGCGGCCGTTGCACCTAGTGCCATTGTGCCAACCGCAAAGGCGTCTAAGGCTTCTACTTCGCGTGCACTGGCCACGTCCAGTAACAATGGTGGCAGCAGTGATGAGGACGGCAACTTGGGCGAGGATGACTCACAGAAGAAGAAGGAGCGCCGTCGACAGCAGGTGCGCTACGCCTCACGTCGTCGTCGTAAGAAACAGAAGGACGAGGAGAGTTTCCTGCGCGACCGCATCGCGGAGTTGAAGGAGCAGATCCGCATCATTGGCGGTGACCTGACAGAGCAATGCTCTCAGATGGCAGGAATGAGTGAGCAAGCTCTGACGGAGGCGTACGAGAAGCAGATGGTGACGGTGCAGACGCTACGCAAGGACAACAACAAGCTGAAGGAGCAGCTGTTGCAGCACGAGAACTTCGCTCGCATGATCCAGTATGGTCTGAATGCGCTGCCCAGCGACTGTCGTGACGTGGACCGTAAGAAGATCGCGGGTGTCCCGATGTGGATCAGCGACCAGATGAACCCTCTGAAGGGTCCGACACTGGTGGTGGATCTGAATATGTGTCACGAAGCTGTGCGTCACGCGTACAACGAGCTGAAGACGTTTGGACCGTCGGTGACCTCGAAGACGAACGTGTGTCATGCGATGGGCTGGAAGACCGAGTTGTGGGCTGCCAGCACGTGTCTGAACTTCCGAGCGGTTCGTGCGATCAGTGATAAGAACATCCGCGAAGTGGCCAATGCTTCCTGGGACATCATCACGTCTCCCGAGAAGTGCAAACGCATTTATCCGGATGTCAAGCAGTTCCGTATCTTGCAAAAGGTGACGGATGATATCGTGGTGGTGCACCGTATCGCGTCGGTGGCGTCAGATCTTTCTGACCGCGAGTTTATCTCGGTGGCATTTCGATTGCGTGATGGTGACGACTACTATATCGGACTCAAGTCCATCACGGTGCAGACTGAGGCTGCTGAGAACTGCATTCGTGGTGAGGAATGTCAAGGCTGGATGTTCGTTGGTGGCGAGAACGAGACGTCGCAGTGGAAGGCTCACTTCTTGGGCTACTACGATGTCAAGGGCGAGAAGGACGACAAGGTGCTGAACCAGCTTGCTAACGAGGCGATGTTCGGTATGCTCCGATGGGAGAGTGAGGCCATGCACCCGCTTAGCGTATAGGGCAGGCATCAGCCTGCTTTGCAAGACTCTCATTTTTGCCCAACTTCTGACACAGCTTCACCTGCCTAACGCTGCGTCAGACGAAATATCTGTATGCATGTGCTGACCAATACTAAAGAATGCAGACTGGAAGCCGCTTCAGTCGAGCAGATACAAACCCTAGTAACAGGAACCGATTACATTCCGGCAAACAAGTTCTTCTCTCAATATAAATACGTCGAAGTATCGTTCTCCAAAAATGTTAGACTGACACTCAGCTAAGTTTGTCTTCCATTTCATTGGATGTTTAGAAGTCCATGCTTTTTATTGTGATGTAGCCATTTCTATCAGATGACCACATTACTAATTGAGTCTTTTCCACCAATCAAATCGTCCGTCAAGTCACCATTCCCACCCATTTTCGAACTGTCAAAGATGTCGACGCACTCGGCAACGTCGGGTGGCTCTGCGGCCAGGAAAATGACGCCGTGTTCATTCTTCGTAGCAGGAAAGTGCCGCAATGGCAGCAGCTGCAAGTTTTTCCACGCTTCACGCGAGGATCTGGCAGTGAGTCCGTTGCCTTGCAAGTTTTTCCTGCGCGGCACGTGCACCGCAGGACGCGGGTGCAAGTTCTCGCACTCGGCGGAGGCGCAAGCGGCATCCACGCGTGTTAGCGCCAGCACGGGCGAGAAAACGACAAAACCGGGCTCTTACGGTGTCCCGTGCAAGTTCTTCAAGTATGGCGACTGCGCGAATGGAGACAAATGTCCGTACTTGCACAATAAGAAGGAGGAAGAAGAGCATAAGGACAAGGTGGAAGCTGTGACGGAGGGAGCATCCACCCCGCAGAAACAACCTGATGATGAGGAGAAAGTGGCGAGTCCTGCGGCTAAAGCATCAGGTGATGAGGAGGATGCCAAGGACAAAGAGGACGAAGTAACAGAGCTCAAGGATTTCATCTCCAAGGAGGAAGGTCAGTTGCCGTACTTTTTTACTGGGGAGTTTGGTGATATTTAGTTCTTTTTTTCATCGTAGAATTATATTATTACGGAGCTCCGGGTGAATTTGAAGACACAGCCGCAGAGTCGGTGCCCCCGATGCCCAAGGAATCGTACGTGGAGGTGGCCAAGAAGAACGTGAGGGACGGACCGCTGTCATTTGATGAAGAGCGCCCTGCACCACCGTACGTGTGTCGTTTCTAGCTGCTATGGCGTGGTAGATGTACTGACCTCCGTGTCGTTAATTCTCAGAAAAATCTGCACATTCTTCTTGCAAGGACTGTGCAGGTATGGAAACACCTGCTTCTACGCGCACTCGCTGCCCGAGCGTGTTGAAAGCGAGGAGGAAATGCTTGCAATGGGCGAAGAGATCCATCTGTCACAGGATCTGGAATGCGGCATTTGCTACGAGATTATTCTAAAGAAGGGCGAGCGATTTGGCCTGCTCTCCGGATGCAACCACTCGTTCTGCCTCACATGTCTGCGCAACTGGCGAAGCAGTGAGGACCAGCCCAAGCAGACGGTACGTCAGTGTCCCGTGTGTCGAGTGGAGACCAAGTTTATTATCCCTTCAAGTCGCATGGTCACCAGACCGGAGCGCAAGAAAGTCCTCATCGACGTGTACCGGGTACGTGGAGAGCTTACCCTTGCACGGCTATGGACAAGCACAGTACTTAACCTGTTCTTCCTGCTACCAGAAAAACCTCTCTGGCATTCCATGCCGCCATTTCGACGAAGGAAGGTACGATCATTCATTGCAGGCTCTAGCGCTACATGGTATGATATTGTGCTTATTGTTTGATGTTAAATTACTTGCAGAGGAACTTGTCCATTCGGCACCAGCTGCTTCTACGCTCACCGTTACCCGGACGGCACGTTGGCATCACGCCAAGTGCGAACCGCGGTCGACTCTGACGGCCAGTACGATGTCCTTCGTCAAGTGCGTCTTGAGAACTTCTTGAGGCAGAGTGAGAGCAACGAATAGCTGTGAGAATTCCTCTTCTGCATCCATATTGCTGCATGTTTTAGAGCTTTTGCATTGGCTTCCACTTGCTCAGAAAGAAATACATCGTAGCAAGACCAAAAACTTGCGAATGTAGGTCAGTAGTACTGCATTATCTTTTCCTTGTAGAGAGAAACGCCTCACAAAACTTAGGCAGACTTGTCCGCTACCCGTGTGGTGAACGAGCCGTCCGTCTGTCCGAAGAAGGCCTTCTCAGCCATGCCACAGAAGAGTCCGACCTCCACGACACCAGGCAGCAGTTTGAGACGATCGCACAGCGTCTTAGGGTCGTTGATGACGCCGAAGTTGACATCCAGCACGAAGTTGCCGTTGTCCGTGACCACAGGTCCAGCCTTGCTTTTGGCCATACGCAGCACGGACTTACCGCCGAAGTCCTGCTCCATCTTGTTCATAAGCGGCACGTAGGCCATCGGAACGACCTCGACGGGCACGCCCTGCGTCCACTGCTCGCCAAGCTGCTTGGATTCCTTGCGGTAGTCAGCGATCACCACGAACTTGTTGGCTGCAAACGCCACGATCTTCTCCTGCAGCTGACAGCCACCTCCGCCCTTAATGCAGTTGAGTTGGAGATCCACTTCGTCAGCTCCATCAATGGTGACGTCGATCACGGGGTTCTCGTCCAGACTCGAGAGCGTGAGCTTGTGCTGGACAATGAGCTGCTTGGCCTGGAACGACGTCGGGATGCACTTGATGTCCGTGAGTTTCTTCTCCTTGACGAGCTCTCCGAGACGCTCAGCGGCGTACACGACCGTGGAGCCGCTGCCGACACCCACGACGTATCCGCTCTTGACGTACTCGTCCACGGCCTGGCGCGCAGCCTGTGACATAGCGACGAATTAGCACGTGGCTGTAGATGATCAGCGAGTCTGCAGTGGTCGTACGGTGCGCTTAGACTGCTCGATGGGGCTCGACATGTTGATCTGCGACGTCTGCGAAGATCTGGAATGCCTCGACTCAAGCCTTGAGTGGCCGTACGCTATATACACTCGAGTGGGCTGTGGCACATCAACAACAGCGGTTTGATGACGCTGCCGACGTACACAAATTATTTCGTAGCGATTTATGCTAAAACATACACGTTTAGCAAATAAAAAACGTCACTCGAGTCTCTGCTTGGTGTTCAGCATGTTCGGCCTCCGCCTCCTCCGCAGGCGCACCGCTAACCACGCCACAGCCGCGTTTCACTCGAAGCCTCCACCGACTAGTGCTGAGAATGCGTCATTGCTACGAGACCTGGAGACGGCAATGAAGACGGACCCAGAGGCGGCGCAGAAGCTGAGCGGCTTGTTGTCACCAGCCACGACGCGGAACTTGTCTCGGGCGCTAAAATCTGTACGAACGAGCACGCCAGCGAGTGAAACTGCGAATGCTGCTGCTGTGACGCCCCCGACAACGCAGGAGCTCAAGATGGTGGCGTTGCAGATGGGGCTGCCGTTCATCGGCTTCGGCTTCGTGGACAACTTCATCATGATCATCGCCGGAGACTACATTGACCTCACGCTGGGCGTGTCGCTTGGTATTTCATCCATGGCAGCAGCCGGCATCGGCAACACCATCTCGGATATTGCGGGTCTGGGACTGGGCAACGTGGTCGAAGATTTCTGCGCGCGAATTGGACTTCCTGTTCCAGCACTGACCAACGAGCAGGTGTGTGTCTCTCTCTTGGTATTGCTTCGCAACCTGTGTGTGTACTGATAGTATTGATCTTCTCACTGCTTGCCAATTACTGTTATCGTAGATGCTATTGAAGAGCACACGACTGGCGAAGGTCACAGGCAGCTCTATCGGCGTAACTATCGGCTGTCTGTTGGGCATGGTTCCACTGCTATTCCTCGAGACGAGGCCAAAGAATGACAACCCCGCCCCATCAAAGCCAACGGGTAGCAACGATGAGTAGACTCTACAGTAGACTAACACGTAATAAGACAAGTTCACAGGTCGGACCTTATACGGCATTCCGTTCACCCCACATGAATGACATGGTACTCACAAAAATGCCGTCACCAGCCATCGCTTCCGACGTAGCGCGTTCTGTGCTGCAATGGTTCGAGAGCAACTCGCAATGCCAGAAGAAAGTTCTCCCCTCAGAGTGGACGGTCCTCGCAGGCATCGTATTGTGCTCCCCATCCTCAGAGCCCAACGATAAACTCCGCGTTCTAGCAGTAGCTACGGGCAACAAATGCCTCGGTCGACGCGACCTGAACGCCGATGGCCTCGTAGTCAACGATTGCCACGCTGAAGTGCTGGCCAGACGAGCGCTCCTCCGCTATTTGTACGCCGAGGCGCTCTCTTGGCAGGAAAACGGGCTGGAGCTAAGTGAGCATTCGATCTTCGAGCGACATTCAACGTCGCGTCGTCTAGTACTTAAGCCACAGCATTCGCTGCATCTCTTCATCAGCGAAGCGCCCTGTGGCGACGCCGCCATCTACGAACTGCGTCACGATGTTGTCGATGAATTAGTGCAGCAACGCGAAGCCAAGACTGGACAGGCGGGTCAGAGAGAGCGGAGTGCGTTACGTCTGACAGGAGCCAAAGCGCACAGCAAGCGGCCGAGAGATGAAGACGCTGATGACACGCCGCCAGACAAGAAATTCGCACAAGCAGTTGGCATTGCGCGTGTGAAGTCTGGACGATCCGATCTACCGCTGGAGAAGCAGACGTTGTCCATGAGTTGCTCTGATAAACTGGCCAAGTGGAACGCACTAGGACTGCAAGGCTCGCTGCTGTTGCAGTGGTTTGAGCCGATCTTTTTAAGCTCCTTCATTGTGAGTAAAGACGAGGAAGCACTGTCAGTGACGAAGCAAGAATACGCGCTTCAGCGAGCTCTGTGTACACGACTACAAGACCGAAAGGCACTGGTGGATGGAGCGCAATTAAGCTGCGAGACGTCTGTGGCTTCCGACATTCCTCACTTCAGTCGTCGACGGGCTTCTGACCGAACTCCATCGAGTCTAGCACTCAACTGGACGACACGGGAACCCTATTGGACTCGAGTACAACAACAGAACCCGCTTGTAGCCAAGTTCTTTAACAAGTTCGAGCTCGAGTTCCTGATGGCAGCTACAGGGTTCAAGCAGGGCGCCAAGAAGGCGTCAAAGATGGATCGAGTCGCCATGGACAAGGTGGCTTCACGTCTGGCAAAGAGGAACCTGCTACGCGCATTTCAGCACCTCGTCAGCCTCGTCAGTGATCTCGACTATCTTGAGCTCAAGCGAGCAGTTCCTGTGGCTACATCATCGACCACACTCTCTACATCTTCTACATCGACAGCTGTCACCACTCGCAACAATCAGCGAAATCAATTCTTTGAGGCATTCAAGGATTGGATTGGGGTTCCTGCAACCTTCAAGCAGTTCAAGCTCCAAGACATGGCTACAATAACTCACTCTTCTATCGCTTGACACTTTTTGCGGTCCTTCTCCAGACGCTCCTCATAAATAATGGACCCGATGTTCCCCGTAGACTTCAAGATGTCGAAAGCCATTGCAAACGTGTCCACGCAGTCGTCGATGCGGAAGACGCCACCAAAATCCATGTGGCCGCCGTCTCCTAGCGGAAGCGGTAGTTGCGTGTCCTCATGCAAGAAATTGGGCAGCTTCCTGTTGCCGAACAGCTCGAAGAATGCCAGCAATAGAGACGATACTGACTTGGTCTTTTGCTTGGAGCTGTTACGTTGGAAGATATACGCCACCATCATGTACAGTCGAAAGCTGCCCAGGCCGCCGGTGAACGGTTTATCCAGGTCGAACTGGTGCAGAAACTCCTTCATAAACATGATTATTGTCGTAAACGGCGCTCCCAATGTGCTCTGCAGTCTTTGCACAAGACAAGTCGAGCGTCCGTGCTCGCTGGTCTCGAACAACTCACGGTTGACGCCGATATCAATAGATAGCTTTGTCTTCGTGTCTAGAACCATGAGAATGGGGACTTTGGCCTTGTGCAAGCACTTTACTTGGAAATGAGGCCTTTGAGACTTCAACAGAAACTGCAACGCTCGCAGAACGCGCAGCTTACGTCTACGCAGTGTCGGGTTCCAGTGTGAGGCTGCGGTGGGCTGCACACGACGTGTGATGTCCGCGTTGTCCTCAGAGGCCATCGTTCCCACAGGCAGCGCCAGGTTCAACGAGAATGAGGACTCCGTTTCCTCTACCGGTATTGGACCAGGCAGAGTCTTAATATTTGTTTGTCCAGCCCCACTATCACGAGTTTCCAGCACTTGAGCTAGTTCGTCTTCATCCACCACAACAGGAGGCCATGGTTGCGACGGAGACAGTGTAATATTCCCCACTGTAATATCCAGATCACTGCGAAAAGTGTCCAGGCCCGTGCTGGAGGACCCGTAGAGCTTCACCGTAGCGTTCTGGTACGCCGATGTGATCAGGTCACGCACGTCCTCAAACACTGTTGTGCGCAGTTGTCTCTCCTGAGAAGATAGCGCCACTTTTGCTGCAAACAACCTCAGCTCTGTATCCATCGGCGTTTCATTACTAGGACTCGTAGCTGCAGTGCTGCTGTCTCCATTCGGTTTACCTCTCCGCCTCCGCTTCTCACGCTTTTTGGTGACCTTTTTGGGATTCACGAACGTTGATCTCTCGCCACGAATCTGCTTTTTCCGACGTACAGGAGCACTACGAGTGTCCCTCGCCTTCTCCCAATTGGTCGTGGAGCCTGTTGCCGTAATACCCGACGCATGTAGCGGTTTGGCCGTCGTTGACCGCTTCCGATGACGCATGGCCACTGATTAACAGCTAGCGTAACACTAGTTTTTGGAAAATTTAGATCAACCTGTAAAAATCGCAAAAGTTGCAGTAATGGTTTGAGCACATCCAAAATGATGCCAGTTGTCAAAGCTTCAGGCCAAGAACGCCTTTGCTGTGTCCCCTTCTCTGTGTCGCCGAGCAAAAGTCTCCGATTTGCGGCAATTTCCTTTCCGCCACTTGGTGGCACACAAATACAAGCGGACGGAAGAGCTCAACAGAGGGTGCTCTTGACGCACAACCACATTGGGAGACTTTGTAGCATCATGAAGCGGCTCCTTGCGCTGCTGGTGGCCAGCTGCGCGTTTGCCGCACAAGGTACTGCAGAGGCAGCGTCTCCGTTGTTGCATATAAGGACGAGAAACCCAATTAATTGACGACGAAAAAATGTTGCGGTGTTGTATGTTTGCTGCAGCGATGGAGACGCTGGAAATGAGTGACGATGTGACTTTCGACAGCGTAGTGTTCAGTGGAGAGAGCCGCAAATTGGCTGTAGACACGACAACGTTCCCGGAGGACTACAAGCCAGGCGAGGTCATGGCGGCACAGGACGAAGAGCGCGCGGCCGGTGTGTGGCCAACTTCCAAGGGAATGGTGCCACTCACGAGGCCTCGGACAGTGGGCCCTTCCACGCCATTCGACGGTGGTATGAAAACCTTCAAGCGCAGCAATGTAGCATTCAGATCAGGCGCGAAGATGACCAGAGCGAACGCCGTGTTCGTCGTACAGGCTGGTGGAACGCTGAGCAACGTGATTATCGCTGGTGGCGGAGGCGTCTTCTGTGAGACGCACAATTGCGCGCTAGTGAACGTGTGGTTCAAGGACTCGGTACAGGGAGCGCTGCACGTAAACTCGGGTACAGGAATCACGACGATCACTGGCGGAGGAGCTAGAAATGTTGCACGTCGCGTCATCTTCGCCCAGGCCTCGGGCACTGTTGTTGTCAGTGGCGGCTTCTACATGGTAAATTCAGGCCGATTGTTTGAGTCGTGCGGCACGTGTGGCCCCGTGAAGCGGGGCGTTATCGTGGACGGTGTCGTCAGTGTCAACCCGACGGCCGAGCTCATCCGTATGAACTCGAACTACAATGACCGTGGCACCATTTCTAAGGCCACTATTACGACGTCGATGACCAATTACCCTGTGTGCACTCGCTTCAACGGCGGCGCTACCCCCAGAAAGCTCGGAAACGGAGCCGCTCCCCCCGTTTGCGCATACTCCAGGGCTGCAGTGACGATCAGATAAGCTGCTTCTACGGGGACTTTTTGACGAGAGTATTCGGTGATCTAAATGCTGCCTCGGGGCATTTATTGCGTTGCAGAGAGCGATTGCGAGCTTTCTTGTCAGCTAGAATAGCGTGTAGTAAAATGGAAAGACAAGCTATTATCTCTGTTCAGGAAAGGTAAAAAAAAGTTTGCTCTCAGAAACGTTTCTATCCTTCCTAATGTCAGAGCTCAAACGTGATTGAGAAGAGTGACGCCTTAAATGTATCGGCGTCGCACGTGGATCGCAGGTTGCTCACACAGCGCAGAACTCGCTCCGCCCATACAGAACTCAAGACGTGTGCGTCGTGCAGCATCTTGACGACAGTTTGTTGGCGAACGTCCTCGACGTCTCTCGTGATGAGTTGTTGTAGCGCATCTACAAGTGCCGCGTACTGGAAAACGTCAGTGTCACTTCCATCCAACGCGGCAACAGCAATTCTGAAGATACTAGCGCTGAGCTTACAAGTGTTGGCGCTTGCAAAGCCAAGAACCACGTAATTTTTCATCTGATCATAGAGCATTCTCACGTTGAGTTGCTGATTTGTGTGCAACAATTGTTCAAAGCATTTCAAGATGACCAAAAGAACGTCCGGGTCAGCTGAGTTGTTGTTCTTGTGCTCATAGAAAACCTGCTTAGCAATAGCCATCGAGTCCCAGTTAGTTACCAGTGGCAGGAGTTGGTACACGGCTCCAGAAGCGCCGAGGATAGGCAACTGGTTCTCGATTCCAGTGGATGGTTTTGTATCTTCCTCATCCTCACTTGCAGCCTCGCGGCCTGTTCCAGTGTCTTTAGTGAACAGCATCACGTGACGTACAACCGCTGGTAGACTAAGCAGCACGTCAATGTATAGTGGAACGAGTTCCTGGTAGTGCTCCAGATTCCTCGAGAGATAGGATAACCCAACCCGCCTCAAGTTGAGACTTGCTTCCGGGTGGAATTCTCGCTCAATAATTGTCAAACACAACTCGATCTGCTCTGTAAAATCTCGAGGTGGTTCCTCCGTAACTCCGTTGGATTCGTCTTCGTTCCGTTGCGTTGGTACAATGCGAAGTACAGCGGATGCAACAATGACGAGTTGAGCCTTCACCTCCCACCACGCATGTCGAGACGAGAGTTGCGTCAAGCGTGGCAGTAGATCCACGACAAGATTCACGTCGTAGTTGAGGAATGGGATCAACATGGATAAACACGCAGCACGTAGCTTCTCACACGTAGTCTCTAACCCGATGCAGCAGTAATAATGGTACAGATCAACGAGAGTTTCGTCTAGTTCGCTTTCCATGACGATTAGAACTGCCAGCAGGTGAATGAACAGCGGAATGTCATCATTCAGAGCCTCGCGCAATTGCTTGATGGCTTGGATGTGAGCCAGCACCGTATTGGGCAAGAACGCGTATAGTATACGAAGCAGTGGGGCACGCTTGTTGGAATATTGGTATAGAATCACCGTGAGCTTAGGGAGTAAAAACTCGGGCATAAAGAGCGAAGCGGCAGAGCTGTCCCGACGAACGCAGTGTTGTCCTAATACGATGAAGAGATGCACTGTTGTGTGGAAGAGAATATGGCTTTCGTCGTGTTCAGCAAGCATTGGATACATGAGACCGACAAACTTCCAAAAGTCTCGTGGGAAGTCCAAGAAAGCTCCAGCAAGTAATTCAACCTCCTCTTCAATACTTCCAAGCACTTTGGCACACTCACTCTCGCCGAAGACGTTTCCTTCGGACACGTTATCCAAGAAGTTCTCAAATTTATCCTTTCCTCCACGTGGCTTCAGTATCAGCTCCATACTCGAGAGTTTACGGGCTACTATTTCGTTTAGTAGATCGAGAGGACGGCGTTTCTGTATAACTTCCGGCATGCTGCCATTCATTCCGCGGGTATCGAAGGACGCGACACCGCGAGCCTCTCCAAGGAGACAACTGGAGCCTGAATAGCCCAGCGATTCATTCTCTTTGGCTTCTCGGGTCGCACGTAGTTTCTCGAGTCCTTTTTGGTTGATTGTTTTGATCTGAACCTCGCGTACAATCTGCTGCGTCATCAGCACGGGGTTGCTGTCGTCGTTTCGAACAGGCTTCGTAGCTCCACGTAAGACTGTGGCTTTACTAGCACTGCGGATGGCTGGATACCGATCAGGTGTGTCTGTCATCAAGCGTTCAAGATGCTGCGTCTCCTCGAGCTGCGAGTGAATGTCACGCACCCTGCGGTTGAGCTGCGTCTGGTCTCGCATCTCAGCGATCTCAGGCTCACGCATCTTGTCTCGAATAAACGCCGAGTTGGTAGGTTTGGCGTACGGAGGGATCTCATCCACTGTGTTCAAGCTCTTCGCGATGCTCATGGGTGCTGCTATGTGTCCTGATGAGGGAAGATTAGCCACCGCTGTAGGTTGGATAGTGCGTTTAGTCAAGCATTGATAGAGTTTCGTTAGAAATACAACTGCGGCTCCGTTCTGGCAGTGGACGATGGCGTCGATGTCGCTCTTGTTAGTCAAAGGCTCCAGGTCCACGAAGCGGCCGAAGATCTTAACCAATTGGTCCCAATTATCCTTCCTGACTTTCATTCCGATGCCGTTGTCGTACGAATGCATACTGATGTCCTTGTCATAATACCGCGATAAAATCTCGGCTACCAGGAACCCATTGGCAAAGTCTCTGGTAATGAATGACCTTTAGAATAATAATTCGCAGTGGCAAACAACCATATACTCCAATAGTCAACGCACCTCTTTACATTCTTAATGGAGTAAGCCAAGTCCAAGCTTTGAATCCAGCGCAGCAACTCGCGATTCAGTTTGTTGCTCTTGGCTTCGTCCGCCATTTTGACAGTGTCTCTTCAAGGCACTCTTTAATTAAAAACACCTTTTAGAAATAATCACAACCTCCACTATATCACATTTAATGTTTCGAACACCAATAATTCACAAGCCACCGCTTTCGTCCATCATTGGCCAACGTAGCTCTTCGCCTAGCCACCACAATTATGCGCGTGCTGCGTCCGACGGCGCTGCGGCGTCTCCGCGCTCAGACCGATCGCAACCAGCGTCTGCAGCTCATTGTTCGCGCCTTCAGCGACGCTACGGATCCTGCCAAGCGTCCTTTGGGCGGCTCTATCACTCCGTTTGTTGCAACTGACTCTGCTCCGCGTGTCAATGGCTTCCACAATGGCAACAACGGCCACACGCAGCCCGAGACGCTGCAGTTTCTAGCATCATACCACGAAGACGAACAGCATCAGCATCAAGACGTTGAATTTACAGCGCAACGCATCGGTTTCCCCATCAGCGAGGCCGAATATAAGGAACACAACGAATATCAGGAAGAGGAGGGCATTCGCGAGGAATCTAGAGCCGAGGCGACCGCAAAAGCCGAGCGAATCATGGCTGTATTGCGTCATTCCATGTCGGAGCTGGAGATTGGCAAGGTCATCCACCGTATTGCGCAGTACGCGACGCTGCCGCGCGTCACTGGCCTCTCCAGGAAGCAGTTCCTGCGCTCATTGGAGACGCGATTCGGTGAGAGCAACAAGAAGGAGTTCAGCTACATGCTTGCGTTCCTACAGGGGCGAGACGACGTCATTGACCAGTTAGAAATCGACTCGCGAATGGGCGGCGACGCCGTCGAGGAGACCAACGTCGTCACCATTGAGACGCATGCAGTAGGGAGCCCAATCGACGAGTTTGTGGTGCCTCAGATCATGGGGCTGCATCCAGATTTAGTCGCGGACCCAAAATTTGTGAGCGTTGTGTTCTGCTACTGCCGTTTGGCGTGTCTGAACTCGCTCAAGCTCATGCAGCGCCCCGCCGCGGGCTTTAACCGCGGCTCCAAGTCCAGTTTATGGCAGGTTAAGGCGGATTTCCGAAAGGTGCTGGACATGGAGGGATATTCGCACTACGCCGACATGCTGGGACTGGAGAAACACTCTTTTAAGCAGGACGACGAAGACATCGACGCGGTGGACGCCGAGTGGGAGGAATTCAACCTGGAAAACGACCGGATTGACTTCCGCATGCTACTGTCACAGACCCAAGGGATCGTGGACTTTATGAAGACTGAACTGTCGAATGAAACCATCTCCAAGATGCTCGTGGCCATGCTGGCGTCGGTCAAGACCTCCAAGCTGCATCGCAAGATCTTCCAGGAGATGGTGTGCAATATCCAGACAGCTTTCCCCGATACATACCACGAACAGCTTCTGTCCGAGCTCGTGCCGTTTCTATCGGGCGATAATGCCACATACGAGGACTTTGACTCGGAAGTAGCGACGACGGCGCTGCAGCACCACCAGATGCGGAATGAAGCCATCATCCGAGCTTTACTGGAGACGCGTATGCGTGTGGGTCACATTCTGATCAACGATATCGACGAAGTGGAGCCGACGCAGTCGATTCCAAAGAAATTGACTCCAGAGCAGCATGAGAAGGTCATCACGACGGCCTGGAACATCGTGTCGGTGCTGGACGACCGCAAGTATCACATGTTCTTCACGCGCTTCCTCAAGTACAAGCTGGCGTGGCGACCGAACCGTGCCACGTTTGGAGAAACGTTTCTATTGGATGTACGGAAGACGCTCGGTCCTCGCGATGCTGAAGCCATTATGCCCATGTTCGAGGAAGTGTATCAACAATTGTCCGTGGAGACGCTCACGATCTGTCGCGTCAAGCTGCGTCACTCCAGGAAACTGCTACGCGGTCGAGGTGTGTTGGAGCCGTTGAACGACGCCGGTCGCGAGCGTCTGGAGACCGCGTGGCAGCCGTCACACTGCGCGTTCTACCGGAATCTACCGCACGGTGTGACCAAGAAACACTTGGAGAACGCGCTGGGTCACGTGGGAGGCGTCAAGCGCTTCTTCCTCTTCTCCAACCCCATCAACGGTCCGCCCGAGTCGCCGGATGAAAATATAGACGACGAAGAGGACGACGACGATGAAGAAGACGACGAACCAGAAGAAGACGACGACGAAGAAGCGGACGACGATGAGAAGCCCAAAAAGAAGAAGAAGAAAGCGAAAAAGACGAAATCGGACGACTCGCTGCCCAAGGGCAAGGAACTCAAGACCATGAAGATGCCCAAGTACAAGCAGAAGATCATCGCCAGTGACAAGAAGACGCCGTACCAAGCGGTGGTGGAATTTGAGTCGGAAAGCGCCTGTCGCAAGGCGACGATGCGAGCGTTGCAGATCTTCGGCGTCATGATGGCTGGCTGGAAGGAGTACCGCCCCGTGTTCTCGTCAACAGTGGACGAGCACTCGGGCGTCACTTTAATGAACGTTCCGTACGGAACTACAGTCGGAGAGTTGGTGGATCAAGTGAACGAGATCTTGACTAATGCGGGACTGAACATGAAGGTGTCGGGCTTGGTGCCTCGAGGCGTGATGCTCACAAATGGACGCTTGGATCTACGCTTCCCGTCGTTCGTGGAGGCTGCGCAAGTGATTGAGTTGTTGGATGAACATGTGAGCAAGAGAAAGTGTCGTCGGAGTCTTTCCAAGCGAGACGCGGTGCTGTTTAGCGAATATTTGCGACTCAAGAAGAATATGGCCAAGAACGAGAGGAAAGAGAAGAAGAAAGAGGAAGAAGAGCAGTTAGCACGCGAGGAGGAAGGCGATCTGCAAGACGACGAAGACCCTTTGTGCTTTGGTGTGGATGAAGACGACGACGATGAAGACGACGACGAAGAGGAAGAAGACAGCCACAAGAAGAAGAAGAACGTCATGGAAGTCCGAGAATCCCTCGACGAATACTTCGCCGAGTGGCTCGAGGCCGAAGCCAATATGACGGACGAGCAACGCGCACTCAGCGACGTGCCTCGTCCGTTCGACGTCACGTGGACGCCGCTGCCCAAGCCCCGAAACAAACACATGTATCTGTAACCTGTCTACCCCCAGCGACAAACAGGCGTAAGCGCACGTGTGAATAGACAACTCTCCAAATGCATTTAAATATTTTGGCCGGTCGACCGACAGCTCAGAAGAGCAGCAGATCCTTGATCATGCGGTCCGAGACAGTGGCAGACTCGGCCTCGGCGCTCGAGCGGACGCTGGCGTCGAAGGCGTGTGCGAAGCGCTTGTCCCGCGCCATCATCCGCTCCAAGAGCGAGTTGGACTCGGCGTAGCGTCGGATCAGGTGTTCGCAGAAGCTGTCGTACGTCTTGTTCTCCTTGTAAATCAGTCGCCCCGTGGCGTAGCTGGCCGTGCGGTAGGCCTCTACAAAGGTTCCTTCGATGCCGTCTTGAATCTGGGGCCGGAACACAACCCACCGCTTGAACAGCCACGGTAACGTGCTCTCGTCCTGGAAATCTCGCTCCTCCAAGACACTCTGTTGACAGATAATAGCTCGTTGTTCCTCCGGCATGAATCGTCGACACACAAGACTGTTGTAGCTGACATTGGGGACGCCGTGTACGTTCAAAGACCATTTCCCCGTAGTCTTCGAGTACACGTGGGCCACATCTTGATCCAGAGGCGTAACAACGACATAGTGCTTCTTCCCGTGCTTAATAGAGATCTTCTGAGCCACATTCGTCTCCCAGCAAAAGTCGAACATGTCCTTGACATTACACGGGAAGAATTTCTGGTTGTGGATCGTGTAATTTTTCTCTGTAATGGCCAGACGCAGTTGCCAGCCGTCCATTTCGATCGGGAGACAGGAGATCACTTCCGGTGCGAAGCTGCTGCTCTCCAAGCTGATGTTTACGCGCACAAAGGACGCGATATGCAGCAGCTCCTTCTTGCGCTCGTCACTCAACGAGTAGCCCGTGGCCGGGTCGATCGTGTGGACGCTGCTAGCGTCGTCGGTCTCAATGTGGTGCACTGGATCGTTACTGTGCGTGCCGTCGGTGTCTTCTCCGCTGTGATCTTCGGACCTGAATGGGAGAAGATCCGAGCTGAAGGACACGAGTGGAGCTGTGGGCGTCGCTGCCGGACTGGGACGCGCGCCAGAGCTCATCTCCTCCACTTTCCTCATGCTGTCGTCTACGAAGTGCGAGAGGCGAGCAGCGCGTTGTTGTTGGGATAGCTGGCCTTGTAGGTAGTTGACTTGGTCTCTTAGAGCCGCTTGGAGCTCCACGACGTGTGTGCGAAGGAACTGCAGCTCCAGTTTCTGCTTCTTCCGACATCGTCGAGACGCCGCGTTGATCTTAAGTTGCCGCTCTCGTGAAACTTTGGTCTTCTTCGTGGGCGTTGTGGCATTGTTGCTGTCCTCCTGTTCTCTCTTGGGTCCAGCGGGTGGAGGTGGTGTAGTCCTTCGTCCGATGTTGACGGTATTGCGAGGGTGCACCACCGGATTTTGAGGCTTGGCGCGCATGGCCAACATGGACGTGGCCACAGCCGCGGTGGGCGACGTTTTGTCACTAGTTGACGTAGTTGCCATCTTGTCGTAGCCGCGCTTGACGCCGCTTTGTCTCGCGGTCGTCGCTGGAGCTCCTGCACCCGACGGAGGGAGTCCGTTGCTCACCGCTGACGAAGGGAAGCCCAATGGAGCTTGCGTCGTTGGCGTCGAGTAGTAGAGATCAAGGTACGAACCGCTGGAGGCGTCAGTCGCGGGGCCGGAGGTGCCTAAGTAATCGCTGAAGAGGTCGTCGTCCATGTCCGCGGCTGAGAGCAGCGCTGTCTGGCTGGCGTCACCGACGGACGTGGGTGCGAGCGTCGAATTGGAGCTACTGGAGTTCGTGGGTGACGCACCAGAGACCGAGGCCAGCTCCTGCTTAAAGGTCAACACCTCGTCCTCGGTGTAGAGCGAGGAGGGCGACGAGCTGATGAGGTTCAAGTCTCTATTGTACTGCATAAGATGGCGAGGTGGATGGATCACCTTCAACCTGAGACCAGCCTGGAGGTTCGAGGTGAATTGGGGAATGACAAACCCAGAGATTTGCTTTTACCGCCGGTGGGGTGTGTACGTATCCGTCACCTTCGAGGTGCAAATGCCAGCAAATGACCTGCTCGCAAGGTTGCTTGCTTGGCGGTGCCCGTCCCCCCGTTTAACCACCCATACTTGAGGAAACTATGCCGGTGTCAACGGAGACTTCCCTCGAGCGGCTGCGTCGATTTGACTTGTAATTCTATGACAAGCCTTTTTATGTGTCCAGAACTGGAGACCACAAGAAAAGTTTGAGTCGGAACATCAGTGGCTGGTCAGGAATGCGAGGGACCGGGATGGGCTCACAAATGCCCATCACGGTCACAAATAATAGTCCGTAGCTTTTACTACCATGTTATCACTGATAACTTACTAGCCGAGCGCCGCCGCTACGCGGCGGTAATTAGGTTTTACTCTAGATTTTTGCCTTCCCGCCTTCGCTTCGCTTCGGCGGGATAATTAGTCCAAATCCTCTGAGTCTGTGAGCTTGGCAAAGTCTCTTTATTGTTGTTGGCGATCACTGTACCTTAATCTTCCACCCAGAAGCACCTGCACTTCAGTCTAAAACCGCTAAATAATATATTTAGTTTAGCGTCGTGCTCGATTTCACGGGCCGTTTCTGAAACCTAGATTGCAACAATGCAAAGAATATCTGTCCAGCTTGCATCAAATACCCGCTTGTACTGCCTGGTTAAGCTTGTAACAAACTGACTATTAACCACTTCGCAAACCAAACTCGAAAGAAAATTAGAAGTGTTTCAGAATTAGTCATTAGACACTCCAATCTGTGCCTGTTATGGTTATAGCCTTTGGATATAACGATGCGTCGCAAGACGCCGTGCTGTTGTTGTTGTGACGGGGTCACACAGCACCTTGCGCTAGAGGAAGTTATCTTCCGAGAGTATACAAACTCTCAGTGAACGGCAGTTCACAGGTCCCCTCTTTAATTAAAGAGAGCGAAGTGACCTAAATAAGGTAGATTGTAAACTGAGTATATTTATAGGTAGGTTAAGTTTGTGACTATCAGTTACCTATAGAAATGCAATGTCATTTAACCAATGGTTGGTTTTGAATGACCTTGGTACCTTGTACCAAATATCCCGGAGTATGACATGTCATACTCCTGAAGTGTGAAGTGTCACACTTCATGTAACCAGGGTACACTTAGTGCTACGTACCCCGTTACATCCTCCCCCACTTAGGTTCGGTTTACCGACCAATCAGAATGAAGAGATGTTCGTCACAAACTCTCATTCTCAAAGTCGAAAACCATCGACTCGGCCGCGCGAGCGCGGCGGAGGCTCACTTTACAGTTAGAGCCTCGAGCAGCAACCTGTGCGCTCTTCGTCAAGGTCTCCACTTCGACCGTTAACATGCCTCGTGGCACTGCTAAGAGCGGTGCTAAGACACGCTCCAAGGCTGCAGCCGGTAAGGCGCAGGCCAAGAGCACTAAGCCTCACGGCAAAGGCTCTGCACTTAAGGAGGCTACTCAGGTGGCCTCCGAGGCTATCGGATCCTCGGGTGACGCGGCTGCGGACAAGCGCGCAAGCAGGCGCCGCAGTCCGTCGCCCTCGTCTTCAGACAATCGTCCGAACCCTCGGTTCGTAGAACGTGAGTTCAACTCGGGCAGTGAGGACGATGCCGAGTCCGAGAGCACTCATGATGCTCCTGCGGGCTCTGTGGGAGGGCACAGCCCAGTGCCCAGTGAGCACAAAGAAGACAGCGTGCAGTCGTCCGCTAGTGATCACGGTGATCACAGTCCCAGGACCTCTGTGCGCTCTGAGAGTCCGGCCGTTAAGGCTAAGGGCACTCCCAAAGCCGGTGGCGATGAGGAAGGGAGTCCTCGCAAACGTCTCTCGCTTGCCGAGGGTCTTGCGCGCGCTAAGGCCTCTAAAGCCGAAGGCGCCAAGCCCTCAAAGAAGCGTACCGCCTCTAAGTCTCCACTCCGCGAGGAGAAGGAGACTCGACGCTCCTATCAGAGTCTCTTCGGCTCCTCGGATGAAGAGGAGGAGAAGGAGGAAGAAGAGGAAGAGGAGGGTGCCATTGTTGAGCCCCGGGAGGTCTCGAATGACCTCGACCAGCAGCAGGAGAATTTCCAAGCTGCCCAGCGTGTGCGTGGGGGTTCGGTGGCGGCACCCGTCAGCCAGGGAGCTGCCATCAACTCAAGAGGGTATTGGCCTCCCGAGGAGAGCTCTGGGGCTGACCTCTTCTTAGAGCTTCTCGTCGCTCCTCGTGGCCTTGTGGGCGGCCACACTTCTAGGGGCATCTATGAACGAGCCCTTGTTCAGAAAGAACAGTTGTTCGTCGACAACGTGGAGGCTGCTCGGTGTGTGCTTCTCGCGCCACACCGCATTCCCCTTAAGGACTTCACGACTTGTCGTAAGAAGCCCGAGACCCGGGGTGGTCTCTATCCTGTTTGGGGATACCCCTGGGTTATGCCCGAGAACTGTCCCACATGGAGTTCTTGTGAGGACATGTTCTGGGCGTGGGTGGAGACTCTCAAGTACTCGCCCACGGAGTTATGGGAACTCCATGAAGATCAGCAGCTGTCCCACATCCTGGACCAGCGTGATCTTCGTGTGAGGTTTGCCCACTTGATCAGCAAGCGTATGCTGCCAAGGGACATCCTGAAGCGCGCGGCTTCTAGCGCTCACGATGAGCGCGGGTACGGTATGTATTCATCATCCGTACCCCGTTCGGGCAAGAAGCCCCGGACTACTTATGAAGCTGCGCCGCTTCTGTTCCCAGATTGCGACAGCCTTCGGGCAGTCAATCAGGAGCCGTTCAATCGGCTCCCACGAGTTCTCGGAGTGAGCATAACCCCTCCACTTCACGAGGAGCTGTCGCTTCCCGCGACACCGTTGCTCCTGGAGGATCCGCTCCACGTGGAAGTGGACTTCTCCATTCCGGTCAAGCAGGGGCGGAGGTGCCCTCGTACGAGTACGAGTACTCGGCGCCTCCCGAGAGCCACTCTCGTTCGAGTGCTCCGACTGCGGGTCCGACACGGGACCCTGAGGTTGACCGCCTCCGTCAACGTCTCCTCGTGCTTGAGATTGCACTTGGCCTTGGGACTGGCGGTAATGCTGCCGCCCAGGCCGGGAATCAGGGCGAGCTCGCTCGTCTTGCGGGTCGCCTGGACCTGGTGGAGCGAGAGGTCGCGAGCCTGCACCTGCGGGTGGACCGCCGGGCCTCTTCGTCCGATCTGGACGAGGCCTTTCGCATGATCCGACGGATCGAGGCTTTGTTGCCACGTCCGGAGCCGCCTGCGGCACACTCCCAGACGTACGCGTATGGTGCGTACCCGGCGTACTCATCGTACTCGGCGTATGGCGCCGGGGTCCGTTCGTATGGATCCCCTCCGGCGTACGGTCTTGACCGCAGCCTTGCCGTCCCGACCGAGGCTTGGGTGCCTGCTCCGACGCCCTCGTCGACGACTGTGACCGGCCCTCGCTTCGAGGAGCTGGGTCAAGGGGGGTCTGCGAGTCAGCAACCCCCTGCGGGTCAAAGTACCGCTTAAGACGTCCGACATAGAACGTCGGGTGCGTCGTCATTGACTTTGGAAGGTCGATGGTGTACGACGCACCATGTCTGGCCAGGACTGCATAAGGTCCGATGAAGCGGTGCTTCAGTTTGTTGCTGCCGACAGAGCTAACAGTGTCTAGAGGTAGGTTCCTCGTGTCTAGTAACACTAAGTCACCAATCTCAAATATACTTAAGTTTCCTCTTCCTTGTTTGTCCGAGTACTCCTTTTGTTTATCTTGGGCCGCTGCCATGGCATCGCGGACCCTGCTGACAATGTTCAGCTTGGTATCCATAAAGGATTCCACCTGTTTCCGCAGCGAAACTGGCCTCACATCCGAGACCTGGGAGGAAAGGGCTTTCCGAGCCTCTCCCCCACTTAGAATAGAGGAGTCAGTGTTTCCTCGAAGAGTGAGAGGCACTCTGGGGTGGCGGAAGCCGTTCAAGTAGAACGGCGTGAACCCCGTGGACGCGTGCACCGCGTTGTTGAGCGCAAACTCAACAACTGGAAGCTGCGTCGACCACGTACGTGGCGCTGCCGCGCACACACTGCACAGAGTGTCCTCGAGCAC